GCATACTCGGTGTCTGGGTCAGAGCTCAATGATATTTTGGTGGGCGGGGAATGTCCTCTTAAAATTACGGTCTTCTAGCTTTTCAAATTCTCGAGTTAGCAACCCATCCGAAAAAAATTTTGGCGGACCCGAGGCTGGGTACCGCGCATACCCGAGGGCTGGTTTTGAGTTCATTGAGACTTACTTGGGCGGGGAACATCCCCTTAAAATTTCAGCATTCTAGCTTTTCTGGTTCGGGAGTTAGCGGCTTATCCGCAGAGAACTTTCACGGGCCCGTACGTGGGTGTCACGAGGGTAAGACTGACTGCGCATTTTGGGGATGGGGCCCATACATGCACGCAGATTAACTTCCCAAAATTTCAGCCCTGTAGCTTTTGTAGGTCTGGCGATGAAAAATCGGTAAAGAGGCCCTGCTTACACACAAACACAAACACACAGACAACTTTTCTTCAATATGCGTTTTCTGCACTGCAGAGCGGCAAAAACGCGTAATAAAACTAAAAAATACACACGAGCAAGAGACTTTAAAAAGGAGCACTTGCCAAGAGCCGACTATGCGATTTTGCAACCGGATGAAAATACGCATAGATAGTGAGCGACATGCTAAAGAAAACACAGAGATTTTCGGCCCACTTAACAGTCACATATTGCCACAATTTTAAATTCTGAAGCCTTAGTTCAGATCTAAATTTAGACTTGGAAGCAAAGCCAGAATAAAAGACGCTTTGAATGATTTATGTCAAGTCTTTCGTCTTCTAGCATTTGGTGAATTAAACTATTTAAGTCTGCGTGGTGTAACGGGGGTCTGCGAAGAAATTCCTAGTCTTAGGGCCTTATATTAGCCCTCAGTGATGTTAATGGGCTAATTTCAAGCGATCTATCAAGTGCTGTGCGATGATTTGAAGTGTAAAACTTTGAATTTGAACCTCTATCGCCTATCTAGTCAAAAAGACATCGAATTTCGGGCCCAAGGTGTGGTGAAGCCCAAAAGTTGTCTTGCTAGCTCCGCAGCCTTAGTTGGCTAGGTGATGTAATGCCAAAACCAAATTTTAACTTCTCGTCTTTAATACGTATCAGGGACACACACACACACACACACACACACACAAATACACATTCAGTTCATGCACAGACATACGTGATACACAAAGCGCACGAATTCACGCATTCGTTATAATGAGCTTTGAATAAGTGCGAAAACGCATAAAAGTACTAATTGATGGCTGCAATTTCAAAATCATTAGCGACGAGCACCATGCAGATCCGTGCGATCATAATTTTTTGCAGTATTTCGTGCTGTAATGAGATTGCTCGGAAACCTAGTAGGTAGGATTTGTAACATAACGGCCCTCGAAGTTCGGGAAGTTAATTGTTTGCGCGGTACTTGGACAGGCAACATTCCGCTAAAATTTCAGCTTTCCCACTTCTCCGGTTCTTAAATTAGCAATTTTCCCACCAAAAAATTTCATGGGCCCGCACATGGGAACCACACGTGTCTTGAGAGCTGAACTTGATATCTTTAACTTTTTAAGGAGCTGGGAACATACCCTTGAAATATCAGCCCCTAGCTTTCCTATTTCCCGAGTTAGCCATTTTTCCGCCAAAAGCTCCCATTGGCCGCGCATGAGGACCACGCTCACTGAGGGGCTGAATTCGATACTTTTAGGTTGTACGTGTGCTCGAAACATTCCCTGAAAATTTCAGCCTCCCAGCTTTCCTGGTTCCCATGTTAGTGATCTTCGTGCCAGGAACCCTCGCGGGTATTACGCACACCTTGGGGGCTGAATTTAAAATCTTTAAGTTCTATGAGGACGGGGAACATAACCTCGAAATTCCACCTTTCTAGTTTTTCTGGTCCTCGAGTTCGCGATTTTTCTGCCAAAACTTTCACCCTTTCGTACATGGGGTTCAGACTTGCGTGAGGGTTAGGACCGCGGTCTTGGAGTGGCATTGGGAGCCTACTGGCAAAATCTTGGCACTGGAGCGTGCTTGGGTGCTGAGTTGAAATACCCGGACAGACGCGCACATACACACATACCCATATATAAATTACACACCGAGGTCGTCTCAATGGGTGCTTTTGCATTTGCATACAAGCAAAAACGCATAAGTATGACTAAATATGGGGAACATGAGGACATGACTGCCTCAGTGAGGAGCAATTGTCTTTTTTTTTCCTGGCTAAACCGCTGGCAATGTTCGCATCTTAATACAAAGTTTAAAAATTGGCCAACGCACGGGCTGCCCGTACGAAGATGCGTTTTTTGCAGAGTTCCCCGCAGCTT